TATTATTGATTGACAGTATATGTGTTAGACGTGGTCAACTTTAAAAAAAATTTTTATTACCTGGTTTATTTGATTATCTTCAACAATTAATATCTCTAATTTAGGCAATCCAAAATCATCTTTATTGTTGTAATTACCATTTATGTAATTTGATGATATTCTTGGAGGAGACAATACTGATGTGTTTGAAAAGTAGTTACATTGTAAAGATGATGATTGTTGCATTATTTTTATTGATGATGATGGTATTGATATTTGATTGGCGGTTTTTATACTGGGTAAAGTATTTGAACGTCTTGCTGGTGGTAATGATGATAATTTTTTTACTATTTTATGATTATGATTATTTGATAGTGATCTTCCAGAATTTGTTGATGACAACGATGAATTTTTTTGTTGTTTTTTAAAAATTCCGTTTTGTAATTTATTATTATTGTTGTTGTTGTTTGATGTCATCGTTATACGTTCTTCTTTGTTGTTAAGGATATCATTACTATTACTATCATAACTGATATCGTTTATGTTATAATGATTAGAAATAAAATTTACATTTATGTTATCCATACTATTATTATTTATACTGTTACTGCTATTACTACTACCAATACTATCATTGCGATCATCATCTAATTTACTAAAATCAAGCAACATCTTCGTTTTTTCATCTGTATTGCTGTCAATTAGTACAAAGCTAGTTGATTCATCAAGCTCAAAATTATCATTACTATTATTGTTACTATCAACACTAGTATTTTCATGATAATAGTTATCACCATCGACATCGTAACCTTCGCCATCATTATTGTTATTATTAATATTGTCAATATTATTATGAAATTTATTGTAATCTTCCCATTCCAAAAAATTCAACATTGGTTTAAATTTAACTGGTGAAGAGGAATAGACTATATTAACACCTTCGATCTTAAAATTTCTAAATGTTTTTTGTAATGAGGGATTAACTAATATCATTATCGGTAATTTTTTTAACCACAGCTTTTCTTTCAATTTCGATTTAAACAAATCCAATTCATTATTATCTATTAATAGTTTTAAATTGATAATTAATAAATAAATTTTTTTGTTCATCATATTATTATCCTTGTTATTGCCATTTAAATTGTCATTATCATTGTCACAATCAAAATAGGAATCGTTAAATTTAATAAGTTCCGTGAGACTATTAAAGAAGGTTGGTTCTTTTTGAGAACCACATTGTTGCAGTACTTGTTTTAATCCAATTCTATTTGAATTATTTTTTTCCAATATGCAAATTGGTTTTGAAGTTTTAGTTGGTGATAGTATTGGGTATGGGAGAGAATTTAGGTCTTCTTCGAGATATACATAAAACATCATTCTTGTGCCAGATTTATCTCGAGTGTTTTGTTCTACATGTATATCACCACCCATCAATCCAACTAATTTACTTACTATTGCCAATCCCAAACCTATAAATTAATTATATATTTAAATATAATAGGAAGTTGGATCTCTTGATAATAATCAAAAGATAAAATGATAATATATATTTTCTTTTCTTACCGGTACCACCATATCTACGCGTTATACTGGCATCTGCTTGTGAGAATTTTTTAAATAATCTTGGTAACACTTTTTTTGAACCAAGGATGCGAAATAGCGGGTGACGGTAAAACTGCAATAAAAAAATGCGATGAAAAGATGTATGATGTTATATTTATGGACATTTCTATGGCTGATATGGGTAAAAAATTACAATTTTGATTATTTTATTATGATTCTATAATGTTATTATTATTGTTAAAATTTCTAATTTCTAATTTTACATATAACTTGTAAATATAGATGGGTATGTGTTTATACATTAATTGGCGATACGTGGTTGAATCAAAGATCTCATTTTTGGGCAAAATGTCACAAAAATTGCAATTGTCTACACAAAGAGTGTATTATTCTTTTGTGCCAAGGATAATATTACCTTTATGTACGAATAAAGTCAATAAAAGAATTTTATCTAAAAATTAATGAATAAGACTTTTCTATGTTGAACATACGGATTTGGAGGTCTCACTGATTCATCACAGATCGGCAATTAAATGTTTTATTTTATATTTTTTAAATATATTATTTTCTTTCAATAATATAAACATCAAATCTTTTTTAAAAAAATTTGTTTTTAGATTTCAAACAACAAAGATAATACGTAATAATTGTCAAGATATGAAAAGACCTTGGATAATTGCATTAACAGGCAAGTAAAATCACCATAGTCATAAATCATTCATTCTTATTCTTATTGATAATATAATCCATTAATTAATGAATTAATTATTAATTAATCAAATTATTTGTTAATGTTAATAGCAAATGCTTTATGGCATGATAGATTAAATTGTATTGAGTCAGGAATGAATGATTTTGTTTCAAAACCTGCTAGAAAAGAAGATATAAGAGATGCGTTAATAAAATGCGCAAATCAAGCCAATTCTATGCCACAACAAAAATAATAAAAATGATCATTAACATTATCAACATTATACTAAAAATTAAAAGTAATAATTTAGAAATTTTATAGACAGGTAAGCTTGATAAGCCAATCATCTTAACCAATTTGCTTAAAGTACTTGATATTATACATACTTGTGCATATTATTAATTAATATTCAATAATAGTTTTAATAAATTATATATGGGAGTTCTGTTAGGAAAAACGAACTTCGATACTTTTTTTTATTAAACACAAGTCCATTTTTAGAAAAACAAATACTTGTTATAAAATTAATTTATTGTGTCCCTATATATTCGTAAAAAAAATTTTCCTATA